CTTAGCCCCCATTTTCTACGCCAAAAGCAAGAATCCAATATTTATGACGCCATTAACAGTTCTTTCACAGGGCTAAATATTGAAACAAGTAAGAAATGTGCTTTTGTAACTGTTGTGTGGTTTAAAATCTTTGTAATATTTACATGAAAGTAACTCTTATGTCATCTCCGTTAATGTACAACAATAAATCCAATGTTCTCAAATGTATAAGACTAACAATATTTTGAATTTTAACAAAATGTTTTTTAAAGGAATCACACATTTATGATAATGCAATGTTTAGCAAGCTATAACCAGTTGTTCAAGGGTTACCAAACATATTCTCAAAACTGCAATATGGTTATGCAAATCTGCAATTAATCCTTGTTAAAATAAGTGTACATGCCAAGTTGTTCCTGATTTTCTATGTAGAATGGTTTAGAAAAGAGGACCTAATTTTCGTTATGCAAAACATTTGCTGTTGCATTCTCGACGTTGACACATTTTTACCTGTATTGAGCAGATAAATCAGCCCAAGCAATGTATGTATTGAAACGTATTTCGGCAACAAGTTACATTTCCACAAGAAACACAGAATATTTTCCAGATAGTCAATTTCTTGAGAACATAAAAAGTCGATGTCATAATATCATATTATATATAATATTTACAAGTAATTTCAATCAAGAAATGAAAATGCCATGTCATCTTGTTTCTTTCTCATATACTGTTCTCCCTGACCATATTGAATCGTTTGTAAAAGAATATGTTTCTAGCAATATCATTGCTAAAAATGATTCATACAGCAGGTCCGGCAGGATTTATTAATAGTTATAATATGGACATGATATCAGTCCAAAGTCAGTGATCTACATAGAGTTCGAGGTTCAAAACTGTATAACTCTATGTCAGACAAAAAATGTGTGGAAAGATGTGTATGTGCCAGTTCACTTTCCAAAAAGTTGTTATGTATAATTAGTGGCTAGAAAAAATGGGAACGGTATCATTCATTCAACGAATGTGTTTGCTACATTCACGATGTTGACACTCCTTCACCAGTATAGGTAATATTTATGTTTCTTTTTTTTTAAATTGATCTTCCTTTTTATATCATAGCTTCCATCAAAGGCCAAACTGCTGAAGATGACATTGGCCAAACCCGTGGATACTTCAATAGCTGGCAGAAAGATCATCAAGACTATAATGCTTCCTCATCTCATGTTTTCTATAGTCCAATACAGAAGCCCAGTCACAATAGTTTCCAAACCCACACCCCATCACACGCCTTTGTAGAGCATGCGAAGGAAACAGGTAAGATCAGATGCTTTTCTGAAAAATAAATATACAATTGATTGTCATATGTTTTTTAGAATAACCGCAATTCTCGTATTTTGGGATATTCTGAATTATCATATGGATTATCCTGTAAAAAGTTGTTGTATGTTTAAGCTAAAGAATATCTTGATATCTTGTGTTTGAAATCTACTATATATCTCTGTGAAAATTGGTTTTCCTGTTTATATTATAGCTTCCATCCAAGGCCAAACTGCTGCAGATGATATTGGTCAAAACGGTGCATACATCAGTGACTTGCAGCAAGATCGTCAAGATTGTATTGGATTTTCATCTCGTGCTCTCCATACTCCAGGGCATGAGCCGTGTGACTATATTGACGAGAAAGGAAAACAAACAAGTAAAATCAGATTGTTTTTTTTTTTTTAAATACGTATGAATATAGCATTGATTGTCATTTATTTATTAAAATGACAGAAATTCTTGTATTTTAATAGCGTTCAAGTTAAATCAAGAACAGAGCCTGGATTGCAACACCCATTTTGATAGTTCGGATTTATGCTCAGTTGTGATAGCTCTTCTTACCACTGCTAATAAAAATTATATGATGATAAATCCCAGGAATATTGCTTGATATTTATAGCATGTTTATAATGGAATTTTTTTGCTATCTATTTCTCTTGCACAAACATAAGCATTGCAATATCGTCATGAATATCCTAGTTTCTATTTCATCGCCCACACTGCATTATATCAAGCATTTCACAGACTAGATCATTATTGTTGATCATCATTTACTGGTGCATTCCCAAATTTGACAAAACATTGTTACCTTCCTATGATATAAGTTGTTGCTTTCTTACACATTAGTCTGTTTGTCCGTTACAGCCTTAATCAACAGCTATAACAATGCCACAGACAAAAATGGTGCGTACTTTAGCAGCCGAAAGCACGGTCAACAAGATAATAAATTAAATATGTCGACTCTTAGACGCCATTTTCTACGCCAAAAGCAAGAATCCAATATTTATGACGCCATGAACAGTTCTTTCACAGGGCTAAATATTGAAACAAGTAAGAAATGTGCTTTTGTAACTGTTGTGTGGTTTCAAATCTTTGTAATATTTATATGAAAGTAACTCTTATGTCATCTCCGTTAATGTACAACAATAAATCCAATGTTCTCCAATGTATAAGACTAACAATATTTTGAGTTTTAACAAAATGTTTTTTAAAGGAATCACACATTTATGATAATGCAATGTTTAGCAAGCTATAACCAGTTGTTCAAGGGTTACCAAACATATTCTCAAAACTACAATATGGTTATGCAAATCTGCAATTAATCCTTGTTAAAATAAGTGTACATGCCAAGTTTTTCTTGATTTTCTATGTAGAATGGTTTAGAAAAGAGGACCTAATTTTCGTTATGCAAAACATTTGCTGTTGCATTCTCGACGTAGACACATTTTTACCTGTATTTAGCAGATAAATCAGCCCAAGCAATGTATGTATTGAAACGTATTACGGCAACAAGTTACATTCCCACAAGAAACACAGAATATTTTCCAGATATTCAATTTCTTGATAACTTAAAAAGTCGATGTCATAATATTATATTATATATAATATTTACAAGTAATTTCAATCAAGAAATGAAAATGCCATGTCATCTTGTTGCTTTCTCATATACTGTTCTCCATGACCATATTGAATCGTTTGTAAAAGAATATGTTTCTAGCAATATCATTGCTAAAAATGATTCATACAGCAGGTCCGGCAGGATTTATTAATAGTTATAATATGGACATGATATTAGTCCAAAGTCAGTGATCTACATAGAGTTCGAGGTTCAAAACTGTATAACTCTATGTCAGACAAAAAATGTGTGGAAAGATGTGTATGTGCCAGTTCACTTTACAAAAAGTTGTTATGTATAATTAGTGGATAGAAAAAATGGGAACGGTATCACTCATTCAACGAATGTGTTTGCTACATTCACGATGTTGACACTCCTTCACCAGTATAGGTAATATTTATGTTTCTTTTTTTTTAAAATTGATCTTCCTTTTTATATCATAGCTTCCATCAAAGGCCAAACTGCTGAAGATGACATTGGCCAAACCCGTGGATACTTCAATAGCTGGCAGAAGATCATCAAGACTATAATGCTTCCTCATCTCATGTTTCTCTATAGTCCAATACAGAAGCCAGTCACAATATTTTCCAAACCCACACCCCATCACACGCCTTTGTAGAGCATGGGAAGGAAACAGGTAAGATCAGATGCTTTTCTGAAAAATAAATATACAATTGATTGTCATATGTTTTTTAGAATAACCGCAATTCTCGTATTTTGGGATATTCTGAATTATCATATGGATTATCCTGTAAAAAGTTGTTGTATGTTTAAGCTAAAGAATATCTTGATATCTTGTGTTTGAAATCTACTATATATCTCTGTGAAAATTGGTTTTCCTGTTTATATTATAGCTTCCATCCAAGGCCAAACTGCTGCAGATGATATTGGTCAAAACGGTGCATACATCAGTGACTTGCAGCAAGATCGTCAAGATTGTATTGGATTTTCATCTCGTGCTCTCCATACTCCAGGGCATGAGCCGTGTGACTATATTGACGAGAAAGGAAAACAAACAAGTAAAATCAGATTGTTTTTTTTAAATACGTATGAATATAGCATTGATTGTCATTTATTTATTAAAATGACAGAAATTCTTGTATTTTAATAGCGTTCAAGTTAAATCAAGAACAGAGCCTGAATTGCAACACCCATTTTGATAGTTCGGATTTATGCTCAGTTGTGATAGCTCTTCTTACCACTGCTAATAAAAATTATATGATGATAAATCCCAGGAATATTGCTTGATATTTATAGCATGTTTATAATGGAATTTTTTTGCTATCTATTTCTCTTGCACAAACATAAGCATTGCAATATCGTCATGAATAGCCTAGTTTCTATTTCATCGCCCACACTGCATTATATCAAGCATTTCATAGACTAGATCATTATTGTTGATCATCATTTACTGGTGCATTCCCAAATTTGACAAAACATTGTTACCTTCCTATGATATAAGTTGTTGCTTTCTTACACATTAGTCTGTTTGTCCGTTACAGCCTTAATCAACAGCTGTGTTGCTAACAATTCCACAGACAAAAATGGTGCGTACTTTAACAGCCGAAAGCACGGTCAACAAGATAATAAACTAAATATGTCGACTCTTAGCCGCCATTTTCTACGCCAAAAGCAAGAATCCAATATTTATGACGCCATTAACAGTTCTTTCACAGGGCTAAATATTGAAACAAGTAAGAAATGTGCTTTAGTAACTGTTGTGTGGTTTAAATTCTTTGTAATATTTATATGAAAGTAACTCTTATGTCATCTCCGTTAATGTACAACAATAAATCCAATGTTCTCCAATGTATAAGACTAACAATATTTTGAGTTTTAACAAAATGTTTTTTAAAGGAATCACACATTTATGATAATGCAATGTTTAGCAAGCTATAACCAGTTGTTCAAGGGTTACCAAACACATTCTCAAAACTACAATATGGTTATGCAAATCTGCAATTAATCCTTGTTAAAATAAGTGTACATGCCAAGTTTTTCTTGATTTTCTATGTAGAATGGTTTAGAAAAGAGGACCTAATTTTCGTTATGCAAAACATTTGCTGTTGCATTCTCGACGTAGACACATTTTTACCTGTATTTAGCAGATAAATCAGCCCAAGCAATGTATGTATTGAAACGTATTACGGCAACAAGTTACATTCCCACAAGAAACACAGAATATTTTCCAGATATTCAATTTCTTGATAACTTAAAAAGTCGATGTCATAATATTATATTATATATAATATTTACAAGTAATTTCAATCAAGAAATGAAAATGCCATGTCATCTTGTTGCTTTCTCATATACTGTTCTCCCTGACCATATTGAATCGTTTGTAAAAGAATATGTTTCTAGCAATATCATTGCTAAAAATGATTCATACAGCAGGTCCGGCAGGATTTATTAATAGTTATAATATGGACATGATATTAGTCCAAAGTCAGTGATCTACATAGAGTTCGAGGTTCAAAACTGTATAACTCTATGTCAGACAAAAAATGTGTGGAAAGATGTGTATGTGCCAGTTCACTTTACAAAAAGTTGTTATGTATAATTAGTGGATAGAAAAAATGGGAACGGTATCACTCATTCAACGAATGTGTTTGCTACATTCACGATGTTGACACTCCTTCACCAGTATAGGTAATATTTATGTTTCTTTTTTTTAAATTGATCTTCCTTTTTATATCATAGCTTCCATCAAAGGCCAAACTGCTGAAGATGACATTGGCCAAACCCGTGGATACTTCAATAGCTGGCAGAAAGATCATCAAGACTATAATGCTTCCTCATCTCATGTTCTCAATAGTCCAATACAGAAGCCCAGTCACAATAGTTTCCAAACCCACACCCCATCTCACGCCTTTGTAGAGCATGGGAAGGAAACAGGTAAGATCAGATGCTTTTCTGAAAAATAAATATACAATTGATTGTCATATGTTTTTTAGAATAACCGCAATTCTCGTATTTTGGGATATTCTGAATTATCATATGGATTATCCTGTAAAAAGTTGTTGTATGTTTAAGCTAAAGAATATCTTGATATCTTGTGTTTGAAATCTACTATATATCTCTGTGAAAATTGGTTTTCCTGTTTATATTATAGCTTCCATCCAAGGCCAAACTGCTGCAGATGATATTGGTCAAAACGGTGCATACATCAGTGACTTGCAGCAAGATCGTCAAGATTGTATTGGATTTTCATCTCGTGCTCTCCATACTCCAGGGCATGAGCCGTGTGACTATATTGACGGGAAAGGAAAACAAACAAGTAAAATCAGATTGTTTTTTTTAAATACGTATGAATATAGCATTGATTGTCATTTATTTATTAAAATGACAGAAATTCTTGTATTTTAATAGCGTTCAAGTTAAATCAAGAACAGAGCCTGAATTGCAACACCCATTTTGATAGTTCGGATTTATGCTCAGTTGTGATAACTCTTCTTACCACTGCTAATAAAAATTATATGATGATAAATCTCC